TACAGCTTCAATGGGAAACCTAAGCTAGTGAGTGGGCTGCATGAGTGGCCCTCCATCTCAGTGGGTTGGAAGACTGTTATAATCAAGACGGTCTTCTAGGATAGGGTAATTTTGCTGTGTTTGAGTACCTAGAATTTGCAGGGTGTGACAACTGAACCACAGCAGTGCGTTGACTGGAGGCAGAGGGAGCGAGTGCCTGGCTTTTGCACACAACATTGACTGTAATCAGCCCACACCTCACTTCACGTGCCCTTGCTTTATGTGCATATCGCTTCAGTAATGGTATGAAAAAAAAATGACACTGATGGAAACCAGGAGAATCTAGCAACCCTGTGCATAAGCAATGGCAAACAAAACATCCTGCAGGCCTCATTCGGCCCTCCGGCTGCAAGCTTCCCACCATTGCTACAAAGTGTGCTGAAAGCGAACAGAATATGGCTGCTACAGGTAACTTTTTAAGAAACCCTTTTCAATCTCTCTACATGGACAATGTATCCTATTATGCCGCAATCACAAAAATGCCTCCATGTTCAATCGTATCCAGAAGTTCCAATTTGGAATTCAGTTAGCAAAGACATATTCCCTCAACCACTCCCCTCTCTCCAAAAATATTGATTAGCACAAAATGTAACAGCAAATGAGATAGTTATGATAGAAAGTAAATTACATTTTCTGATCAAACACTGAGTCCTTAATGCTAGAAAACACAGCTGTTGAGCTCTACCTTAAGTCATGCAGCTGTGATGTTCAAGTAGTTTCAATTGGCCAAACCATCAAGCAGACTTTCACACCCTCTAATCATGATATTAAGTATCAAAAGCTTCTCAGGGTTTATAATCTACACAATTTCCCACTCACAGTGAAGAAACTCAGACGTTATTTGAAGTAGCTTTTACTGGCATTCCATATTAAAAAAAGAAAAAAGATTGCTTTTGCCTTGTGCCATATGATGTCACAAACTTGTCTCTTCACATGTTAAATGAAGTACAGGCAGTCCCCGAGTTACGCGGATCCGACTTATATCGGATCCGCAGATACGAACGGGAATTTTCTCGCCCCGGAGGACTGGAGCGGCGGGACGCCTGGTCCCGCCGTCTGCCTCCTCCGGGGCGAGAAAAGCTGCTCCCCGTCTCCCTAGTCTGCTGCGGGAGCCAGCAGACCAGGGAGACGGGGAGCAAAGCGGCGCAGGACCCGGCCAGACCCGGCGCTTCCAGCTGATCTGGAAGCGGCGCAGGACCCGGGCCGGACCGCGGCGCTTCCAGCTGATCTGGAAGCGCAGCGGGTCCAGCCCGGGTCCTCCGCTGCTTTGCTCCGCGTCTCTCTGGTCTGCTGGCGGGGGCACAGCTAGTGCCCCCCCCCGCAGACCAGAAGAGAGAGCCCAAGCCTCGTGGGCCGGATCAAGACATGCCGCATGCTGGGCCATAGGTCCCCATCCCTTTAACTAGATACAAATTTAATCACTAGCAGAACTTAAAATTATCGATAAGGTGAACTGATTTCGAAAGAACATGGTTTTCAAAGAAGAATAAATAAATTAAAACTAAATAAATATTTAGCTACCAGATTGCAGAAAATATCTCAAAAGTAAGTGACATGTTATTGCATATACAGGCAGTCCCCGACTTACGCGGATCCGACTTACGTCGGATCCGCACTTACGAACGGGGCTTTCTCGCTGCTCCGGTGCCAGCAGAGTTGCTCTGCCCCGGGCTTCCTGGAATCAGCTGCTGATCAGTTTCAGCAGCAGCTGACTTGGGGACGCCTGGGGTTCTTAAGTTGATTCTGTATGTAAGTCAGAACTGGCGGTCAGTTTCAGCAGTGTCTGAATCTGGACGCCAGTTCCGACTTACATACAGATTCAACTTAAGAACAAACCTACAGTCCCTATCTTGTACGTAACCCGGGGACTGCCTGTAATACATACAACTTTGGACAGCGGAACACTTATTTTGAATTATCTTCACATATCAGAGTGACCAACCTACATAGAGAGTGAGGTAAATGACACATGCCAACACACGGAATAAGCTCAGCTCACTTCCAAGTGAACAACCACACAGACTAATATGCAGATTTTTGAAAGAGTGGTAGCAAAAGGAGACAACAGACCTGCAAATGAAGCATTGCACAACAGCCCTGGCAGAACCATCCTAGGGGGAAAAAACCGCACATGCAACAAGCTTCCCTAGAGCAACTTCACCTAAGTTAGGACTGGAAGGGTGGCAAATAAGATGAAAATCACAGAAAATGAACTTCCAGCAGACTACTACCACTCAGACATGAATCTGGACAAAGGAAGAAAGTAGAAATTGTTTACTATCACAGTCACAAACTGATTTGAAAGAGATACTTGCAAAGGTCAAGCTCACACTGACTGGTAACAAGGGCTATACATTTCTTCATTATAGATTGAGTATGACTCGTCCATAAAATGTGATTAAAGTTCAAGGGAAAAGTCCCTCCAGATAAGTCTCTGCAATGGAAACCTAATTAGGAAACTTCAGGTCAAGGGACTTGGAGGACACCAGCTACAATAATAGATTTCAGACAAATTTAAAGAATGTCAGTGCTTGGTAAGCAGAACTTAAGGTATAAAACCTAAAAGTATAGGAAGAGACAATTTTCCCATTAAGATACTTTGGAGGAAAAACAGATTCTAATTAGGTAGCATTCTCCCCCATCCCATAGAAACAAAGCACATTAACCAAAACAAGGCTGATTCTTCTAGGTGAAAGAAGCAGTCTCCAAAGGAACACAAATTGAGAAAGGAGAAAAGGGAACAATCCTTTTACTCTCAATTGAGGGATAAGCATTATCTTGAGTCTCAAAGGGGAGCTACATAACTGAATTTATGTTCAACACTGGCAGAAGCCCCTGCAAACAAAACACATGAGATTCATGGTTAAGATCCTATAGGAAACTCAGCAATTCTGCAGAAAGGCATGAGAGGCTGGGAAGAGGCCTTTAGAATACAGACGTAGCAGACTACATGCATGTCTTCACTATGGGCTGGATCAATGGGCAGTGATCAACTCAGCAGGGGTTGATTTAGCACGTCTAATACAGACACGGTAAGTCAACCACCAAGCATTCTCCCACCAACTCTGTTACTCCACTAAAACAAGAAGAGTAGGCAGAGTTGATGGAAGTGTGTGAGGTGTCAACTTACCACTATGAAGATTCCACTGTAAGCAGACCTAAGTACATCAACTTCCACTATGTTAATTCACATAACTGATGCTGAATCACATGGGACAATGGCCTATGGGTACTGTAGACAAGGCCTATTAGTCTCTGTATGAAGGAAATGCAAAGAAACAATGGCAAAAGACCATTCTGATATATTCTGACATACAAGGAACAACGAGGCAGCCAGACTTCCTCAGGCTATGATATCATTATATAAGCAGATTCAAGCCAGACCATTTGATTAAAACCGAAATGGAATATTCATGTAAAAACGGTAATGATCAGAGCTCACCAAACTGCGGTGAGCCCTGCTCGCCAGCCACGCTGTCCGATGATCTGTGCATGCAAAGCCGGTTCTTCTGGGTTGTAATCACTCAGCATGGGCAAGTAGATTGCATTATTTGTCGAGCCCTGGTAATGATAATGGTCAGGGCTCGCCGAACCGCTCGCCACGCTGGTCACCAGCCACGCTGTCTGGCGATCTGCACATGCGCAGATCGCCCGAACCCGGCTCTTCCGGGTTACAATCTACTCGCCATGGGCGAGCAGATTGTATAATTTGTCAAACCCTGATAATGGTGATTCATTAGAAGAGTGTTTCTCCTCGGAATCCACTGAAAACTTATCTTGACTCTAGCAGTCAATTCAATGGAATTCATGGAGATTAGGTCTGATTCATGGAGGCTAGGTCCATCAATGGCTATTCCTACCCTCTGTCAGAGGCTGGGAACGGGTGACAGGGGAGGGAATGACTCGGTGATTAACTGTACTATTCATTCCCTCTGGGGCACCTGGCATTGGCCACTGTCAGAAGGCAGGATACTGGGCAAATGGACCTTTGGTCTGACCCAGTTTGGTCATTCTTATGTTCCAAAGGAAAGATGCAATATTGAGCCTACAAACACAAAGCCTATAAACAGGTTTTCACACTCCTGAGAAACATACTATAATTTTTCAGTGTAGATTAGGCCTTATTCTAATTTTCCAGTTATGAAGACTGGATAAGGGCAGCAGCCGTGATACAAATGCACAAACACGCCTGAATGTCACTGTTTAAAAAAGCCACATTTACCGTCAAGCTCCACCACACACTGTCT